AGCCCACCTGAGACCCCACAGAGCCCACCTGAGACCCCACAGAGCCCACCTGAGACCCCAAACAGCATACTTGAGATCCTGCAGAGCGCACTTTAGACCTCTCACATACCAAAGACCCTACACAGCCCACCTGACACCCTGCAGAGCCCACCTGAGGCCCCCCACATACCAGAAACCTTGCACAGCCCACTTGAGACCACGCACATACCATAGACCCTGCACAGCCCACCTGACACCCTGCAGAGCCCACTTGAGACCCCACACATACCATAGACCCCACACAGCCCACCTGACACCCTGCAGACCCCACTTGACACCCTGTACATACAATACACGCTGCGCAGCCCACCTGACACCCTGCAGAGCCCACTTGAGACCCTGTACATATCTGAGAGTGACCCTGCAGAGCCTCCATAGACTCTCTATCAGGCGGCCTGCACGGCATCAGGGGGACCCCTTTGTTCATTGTCCTGGCAGGGCCCCCCTGTGCCCCGGGTCCCCAGAGCGGCAGCCTTGGTTCGCTATGGCGATACTTCCGCCACTGTGTTTAGGCACATAACAGTGCATATCCGCGCACAGCCGTATACTGTTACTAATTTCTGTGGGCTGCTGTGCGCAGTAGCTGTGGCTCCTGGGCAGGGAAATATGCCTAATTATTACATGGTAAGGTCCTAGGCGCCCATGGGCATGATATATTTAAAGCACATCTCTGAGCAAACCAAAAAAACTACCCTTATACTTGGGCTACCCCCACATTGTAAGGGCTAGTTGTATGTTTATGCCAAGGGAACCAGAAAAAGCACTTACTAGATCCCTGCTTCTGTTGGCTCCCTCTGGGCAGCTAGACTGGTCGTTGCAACCTCTTCTCCCCTTTGCTTCTGCGGTAGGGTTGCCACCTGTCCAGGATTCACCCGGACAGTTTGGGTTTTGATGCTGTGTCCGGGTTTCATGGCAGCAGAAACCCGGACACAAGATGTCAGGCAGACAGGGGCAACCAAAAGTAAGATAGGGGCTACTGGCCCCCCACTGAAAATAGTCTCAACTGTAATATTTACATATTAATAAGCCGCAACTCATTCTCCCCCAAAAAATTCTGTGCGTCGCTAGAGTGTTCGGGTTTCGATGGAAGAAAAGGTGGCAACCCTATCCTGCGGTCTAAGGAACGTTGACGTCATAGCATATAGTGCAAGTTCTCATGACCAGCATTAAATGTGAGGACATTTCTTCTATACAGCCGCAGAAGTAACTTGTATGCGGCCTGCATGTGACTTGTCCGGCCCCCCTCCATGGTCCCCCCTCCCCCCTGGCTGCCTCCTTCTGTGCTGGGGTTTTTAGGGTCCCCTGCTCTTCTCGGGGACCAGAGCCCACGGCAAGGCAGTTCAGGATGGAGAGCGGAGACCAGAGCGGAGAACCTCCGTGATCAGTGACACAGGACCGCTGTACTTGCAGCGCTCCGGTGTCAGCTGTCACAACCCGAGGCTTACAGAAGATAGAGCACATGTGTGCTCTATCTTCTGTATTGGAGGGCAGGCTCATAAAGAGAGCCTGTCACCTCCGAATGCTATCACACAGGGGCTTGTAATCCCCTGTGTGATAGCAATAAAGTTAAGTGGAAAAAAAAGGAAGAAGGAATAAAATAAATAAAAATGGTAAAAAAATTAAAAAATGCTAAAAAGTAAAAAAAAAATAATAAAATAGAAACATGAGAAAAAGTTAAATTAAAAAAAAAAAATGTATTATTAATAATAATTAATCCGCACAGCCCAACCTGTATGGAGTCCAATGATTTCAACTGGCGGTCCCGCCTCCTGGGACTACACACATGCACTTCCCCTGGTAGCTGTCAAGGCACCGACATTTTTTTTATGAGGGGGTGGAGTGGGTGGCCCTTCATGGTTACTTGCACCGGGGCCCTGAGGTTTCTAGTTACGCCTCTGATCTGCACCCAATGCCTGTGTGTATGAGCTGTTGCTGCATAGCGCACCTTGCAATACATCTTACTGAATATTCCCACACAAGTGTATTGATAAAAGTCCACTACATGGCAGTAAACAGCTACTGAATCATGTCGGGTCTATTCACTAAGCTGCCGAGGGCAGCCGAGTGAACAACCGACCCCAAGTGAAGTGAGCCGAACACTGTTCGGCTATTCACTTCAGGCTTGTACGTCTGATTTCAGCCGTACATCGGCTTGCTTCGCATGGCTTCGGGTTGGCCGAACAAGCTTAGCATGTTTGGCTGACCCGAAGTGCGGAAGGAGTTCGACTCAGCTGATCCAACATCTGGATCGGCTGAGCAGAACCTCCGGCAGGCTACTCACTGCTGTTCGGCCTATTCTTATAGATGCCGAACAGCAGTGAGTGAATAGCTGAATGCCGCTGGTTTATGCTAATTGAAAATAGCCAATAGGAATCTAGCAATGCATTCCAATGGGCAAAAACGTTTTTTTTTTACTATTCTGACATCGCTCGTGTCAGAATAAAGAAAAAAAAAGAAACAGCAGTGTTTCTCTCCTTGGCGGCCGGGAGCGGGAGACTCCCGGAGCGCCAGGGAGAGTTTGCTGGAAATCAGTGTGCCTGGTTAGCAGGTAACCATGGACGCTGATCTCTCTGAAAGTGGCCGGAGCCAGCCGGAAGATCACGGCTGGCTCCGCCCAGCTGTCAGAAGCAGGCTGTCGGCCGCTCAGCCAGCTTCAGCTTTCAGCGCTGCTCAGCCGAGCCGATGCATATGCGTTCGACTCAAATGAGCCGCTCGGCCACGTTCGGGAGCTGTACGGGCTATAGTGAATAGCCCGTACAGCACCCCTTCGGTTCTAGTGAACCGAAGGGGTCCTGGGGCCAAAGCTAGCCGAAGGATCGGCCGAAGCTACGGCTAGATCCTTCGGCAGCTTCGTGAATAGACCCCTATGTATCAGATGTGCAGGCTGTGCGTGGCTCCACCAGCATCATCCATTCACAAATCTATTCATAGAATCTGTGAATGAATAAACTTTTGCCACTATGGCAGAGGGATTGATAGTTTTCAATGGACTTGCGGTAGTCTTTCAGCTCCATAACCAAAGTTCTGTACCTCGGTACTAACTTTGGTTAGGGGGAATAGTCTGCAGGAGCCTGGACATTGCACCAGGGATCAAAATTGCAATGCTTTTAGGGCTCCAATGCAAAAAATTATAAATGCACATTTTTTTCTGTAGCTTGGGTACATTTAATCATTTTTGGCAAACAGTGGAATATAACTACCTCTTGATAATAACGGAATCAATGGGACTAAATATGAGAGCTGAACGTTTCAGCTATGCAACATGGCTTGTGCCACACCCGAAAAGTGTAGAAAGAGGTTAAAGAAGTATGAAATATAAAGTAGTTTTTCTTTGCTATCTTCTAGAATAGTTGAGCGGTGCCGGATTTGGTGTTATCTCCCATTCACAGGGAAATGTTACAAGTGTAACAGTTATATTTTTTGTTGTAGACGATGGCGACACGGCAACTCCAACCGCTGGCTCAGGTAAGTGGCCTTTAAATATCAGTGTGCCCTATATATACTGTATACTGTAATTATCCACCCAACACATTTCTGCTACTTTAAAATCCAAAAAATATTTTACTTTTACAGTTAAAATGACTGTCAGGTTTTTATTTCTCTCTATGACTCCACGGGGGTGATTTCCCCTCACTTCCTGTCCTTGTGACATCCGTACAATAACAGCTATACAAATATTGTCAGAAAGTTCTAAACCTTCTACACTGTTAGTTAATAATATTAGGGATGCACCGATACTAGCATCATTGGGCGATGCTCCCGATACTTATCCTGATACCGGAACTTGCAGTATCAGGAAGCTGGGCGGTGAGGCATTACTAGCCGCCCGGCTTCCTGATTGGCTGGGAAGCCGGCTCCATGCTCCATCGTCACAACGGAGCTGGCTTCCCGGCCAATCAGGAAGCCAGGAGGGGGTAATTACTTGCCCTCCAGCTTCCTGATTGGCCGCTCCATGGTCCCTTGTCACTGACAAAGGAACAGGCTTAGTATATTTACTAATGTTTTTCCCCCATATGGTGTTTTTTGATAGTTTAGTGCAGAGGAATAAGATAAAGGTGGGACTCTTAATGAAAAGGTGGACCTTGCATGAAGTACAAGTTCTACTTTAATTTATGTTCCATGAAGTAAAATAAGGCATGGCCATAGACAGGGCCTCAACCTGTGTGTGATGGGGCCCCATAGCGAAAGCAATACATCAAAGAATCCCCCTCTGGGAAGCAATTTATTTAATGATAATATAATAATTGCTTCCATTGGATAGATGGATTCCCAAATGATAAATAGATTCATTTTTATCTAACTGTATTTGCCAGATGCTGTTGATTCTGCGTATAGCATCACATAGCTAAACAGCTGGGGGCCCCCTTTGCTTCCGGGCTCTATAGCAGTTACACGGTCTGACGTGGCGATGGTGAGGCGCTTAGCTGTGGGTACACAAATCTGCACCACCTTAATATACACAAGGGGAAAGTTAATAAACCGTTCTTCTTGCATACAGAAAGAATGACAGTTCTGACAAGTGCCAAAACGTCAGTCATCCTATACATATGTACTAAAATGTGTTTTAGGGCCCGTGCACACCTAGGCGATTTATCGCGCGGTTTGAGTCGTGCGATATCGCGCAAAAAACAGATTCGCATTGAAGTCAATGGAGTCTGCTCACACCTTTGCGGTTTGTCGCGCGCGGTTTGGGTCCCATAGACATCTCTATACATTGAAAAACGTGTGACAACTGCACGGTTTACAATGAACAGTCGCGCGATCGGAAAACGCGCGACAACCGCGCGAAAACAGCTTGGCATCTGTGAACCTAGCCTTAGCGATCTGATCTGAATAGAAGGTGTAATATAACCTGTCTGTGTTTCAGATGCCGCTGAGGATACAGTAACAACTGCTGGAGGTAAGCAGATACATACATTGTGAAAATAACTTTTGCAGCACGATGGGGTAAATGAGAACAAACAGCAGCAATGATGTTCAAAGGGCAGTCCATAGTAGGGATCAGAGACCTTCTCTTATAGGCCTCGTTCACATGGGCTGCAGTCTCCACCGCCCTATGAAAAGCAATTTGCAGTGGATCACTTTTGAGGGGGCGGTGGAGCAGCAGCTGCCCGGCATGTAGGATGCAATACTGGCGCTTCCTGAATGCAGAGTTTTGTTGTTTTTTTTTAATCCCAATATGATTTTCTATTGAAATTCACACTTCGATGTATACAGCACTGTGCGGCCAGAGTGCTACCATTGCAGGAGGGGGGGGCGGTAAAACCACGTGGTTGCTGTGCGGGTTTACCGCCCCCTCTGCCGCCTGCTGCAATGGTAGCACTGCAGCTGTACAGTGATAAAAACATCGGCTCCTCACCACTCGTGTGAACGAGACCAAAGGGTTTTTTTTAAATAAACATTCTTTTTGTTCATTCTATTCAGAGATAAAAACAAAAATAGGAAGTAAATTGGAACTATTGCACATGACTTATTCATGTTTTTCACTTGCCGCCATCAGATGGCCTTCTATGAAAGTGCGAACCCTTCATGAAAGCTGAATTGTAGTCATCTGGGAAATGTTATGTAATACAGCTGGTCCTCCAATTCATCTAACGTCTTGTTCCCATGGGCAGCAACTTGGGGAGGGGTGGGGGCATGGGTGTGTACACACATGCCGTGGCACATTTTTTAAAGCATCTTTTTGTATAAAGCATATAAAGCATGTTTTATCCCAAGGGAGATTTTGCATTGCAGTACCGCGCCACAACTGCGTTTCAAGCCCATTGACTGCATAGACGTGTTTTGCAAGCACCTGCCGTGTGCCACCACAATATATACGAAGTATAGGTGAAATCACCAAGCCTCATTACTGGCGCTAGTGAAAACTGGACGTACAAAATCCGTGAGGATGCACTGCAGACTATTGCAACAGTACATTCTCATGGGATTCCGAGCACCCAGCTGTTCCCGGAGGTGCAATGACATGACTAAGGATGAGCTCAGGTTCAGTCTGAACCCGGTCCAACCCTGAGATCCCCCTAACCTGGGAGGAGCTCCTCCTGAACTCCAGTTCCACCCAATCAGCTGCTGGAGGGGAATTCTTCACCCCCAGTTTGATGTAAACAAAGAGGCGGGATGCAGAACCTTATATGGCTACATTAATTTATTTGGTAACGATACCCAATATGGCTATGTGGCCATATAAAGTCAATGACATCACTGCATCCCGCACCTTTGCTTACACGTGGCTACAGGACAGGGAATGCCCCCTCCAGAGCTGATTAAGCGGAAGTGCCCATGGCACATCCTTGATCGGAGGAGCTCAGGTTTGGACTGGGTTTGGTCTGAACCTGAGCTCAACCCTAGACGTGACATTTGCATGGAAGGTCTGCTTTCAAGTAGAACATACGACTATTATTTTTTAACGTTTTGGATAGAGTAAGGGAGGGTTATAACCCTTGTCAGCTTCTTTTTGCCATCTGTGTCCAATTGGGGAGATTTCCCTGCACTTCCTGTCTGATAGCTACACAGGAAACCCCTTCAAAGAGATGGAAATCCCTGATGGTCACCAGAACTACTGTCCCCATGGGAAGATTTCCCACCTATTCCTGTTCTGGTGACAACCCAAAATTGGGGATTTTCTTTCACTTTTCGCTGATAACTGTCATAAATAGAGATGGCGAGTCTCCTAACGGGGACACAGACGGCAATAAAAACCAGACAGAGATTCTAATCCCTTTACACTCTATTCAGAAAGTTTTGGCTTTGGTTGCACTTTATTAGGTCTAATGCACAGCACAGATATGAAGGAGCCCCTTAAATCTTTCAGCCATTGTTATGGCGTTCGTGTAAATTCAGCGAGTATTGACGCCTTCATATGGGGCTTTTTCCAAAGAGGGGGAGAAGGGAACCGAACCTAGAATGGAAATGGTATCTGAAACTCGGCACCTTTCGCTGCTTTTGCTGATGTAACTCATCAAGACCTTAAGAAGCCACAGGTGGCTCTTGGCTCCGTTTAATGTGCCTCCATGTTCTGCAGGTGTTCAGTCTATCTGAAACCCGCCAAGTCACACATTGCCTGCAAGCATGAAACCAGACAGACGATGCTTAATTTTCACACCTTTTATTAAACTTGAACTGAAGCCAAAACTTTTTTTTTTTTTATTTAAAGTTTTTGGATAGAGTAAGGGAGGTTCTAACCCTTGTCAGCTTTTTTTGTGTGATCTGTGTCCCATTGGTTCACCATTGTTTGTACTCTTACTTTCATTGGTCAAACAAAATTGCGGAATGATAACAATGCATAATAAATGCATAAGCCAGCCTTCTTTCTAGTGCAAACCTAACCCCCGGGCCCCCTCATGGGTAAGGGCAATCGCTCCAAGGGCTTGCGCTTTTTGTTTAATTTCTGCTGCCCATCTTTGGTGCACTGGACGTGCCTATGAAATGGCTTCTCATAGTGTGTTATGGGACCTTCTGCCAAGGCAGGAGAAACTCAGAAGATGGTTCCAATGGGACCTCATGGGAAGCTACTAGGAAGGAGGTACCTATGAAGTGGCTTCCCATAGAGTTTTATAGGACCTTCTGCCAATTAGGCAGGAGACACTCCGAAGATGGTTCCATGGGACCTCATGGGAAGCAGGTGCCTATGAAGTGGCTTCCCATAGAGTTTTATAGGACCTTCTGTCAAGGCAGGAGACACTCAGAAGATAGTTCCTTGGGACCTCATAGGAAGCTACTTGGAAGCAGGTGCCTATGAAGTGGCTTCTCATAGTGTTTTATGGGACCTTCTGCCAAGGCAGGAGACACCGTGAAGATGGTCCCATGCAGAATGATTGCATGGTAAGTATACATGGGGGATGGAGGTGGGTGTTATGCTAAGTTAGCATAACAGGGGGGGAAAAATGGATAAGTTGACTTTGTTTGAAGGTGCCGTTATCTTTTGATGAAAACTTGCACTTGATAATTACATAGCCAGTCATTGTTGACTCTTCCTAAACATGTTGGCTGGCTGTTATGTTGATTCTTTAGTTTCAGTTCTTCCTAAGATTCATTTTCACTGGAACAAGGGTCTGGTTTTACTTGCTGCATGTGGGCATCGTGATTGTGACTCAGAAAGCATGGAAAGGCAGGCAAATAGCATATCTCTATCCTTCATTGGGGGACACAGCTATGATCTATAGATAACAACTATTGGGTTATAGTGCCCTCTGGAAGAAGAGGATGTTAGGTGCAAGTAAAAGGTAACTAAGTGGAATGCTCCCTCAGTTGGCCTAATACCACAACTGTTGAAATGACTCATGTTGTTGGTGCGTTTGTTTTGCCCGTTCCCCAATCAAGTACAGCTTCCGGTTCTGATCATTAGATCAAAGCTGCCCCTCTCAATGAGCAATTAAAAAAATGAATTTTTGTCCTTTTCTCCGCCTTTATTGATGAACACAGCTCTGATTGATAGATAACAACCATTGGGCTATAGTGCCCTCTGCAGGAATAGAATGCTCGGTGTAGGTAAAAGGCAACTAAGGGGATGGCTCAGTCTGGTGGTCTAACACCACAACTGTCGGGATCACTTATGTAGATTACGTGGTTTTTTTTGCCCGCCCTTGAATCGAGTATGGCTTCCGGTTCTGAACATTCGATCAAAGCATTGGATCGTGTTCATTGAGGGACACAATGCCTACCACTCAAGTTCTTTTTGGGACTGTTGCCAATGTAGAAATAGTTTCCTTGCATTGCATGATATTGAGTCTTTTTGGCATGTGCGGTGATAGACCAGCAGATGGAGCCATCCCCTTGGTTGCTTTTTACTTGCACCTAGTGTCCTGCCATCTGCAGGTGGCGCTACAACCCACCACTTCTGATCAAAGCTGTGTCCCTCAATGAACTTAGAGAAAATTAATTTAAGGAGAGTACAATTTTTTTTTTTCCTACCATGAGATGAGCAATGGCCGCCAATGTATTTGGCTGAGGGTTTTGCATTGTTTATTTGTAGGCTTTTTTTCATGTTTCATGCAGCTCAGCTGCCATGTTTGTTTGGGACTCACTCTGGTAAGGTCGAGGAGGTCTGTACTATCCATCATGCTCTGTCTCCCAGTCCTCATCCTCTCTCTCTTTCTCTCTCTGGCAGACTGTAAGGAGGTGCAGTATCCGTGCACTCGGGTGTACTCCGTACAGAAGCCGGTCAAGCAGTGCATCAGCTACTTGTGTGTCACCAGGTATGACCAATTCCTCTAAATCCCGCTTAGCCAAGAGAATAGTCCAGGGGTAGGAAACCTCGGAAGTCCATCTGTTGTGGAACTACAAGTCCCAGGAAGCATTGCAAGGCTCTGACAGCCGCAAGCATCGCTCCCAGAGGCAGATAAATGATGGAACTAGTAGTTTCAGCACAGCTTGCCAGCTTGAGTGCCAAAGCTGCCTACCCCTGGAATAGTCCATGCAGTTGTTGCTAGAGTTCAAACTAGGCCTGATTGACAGAAAATAATCAATGGACTACAAGTGTCATGAGGTTACCACACTTTTACCCCATTGAGGTCTAGGAGAGTTCCTCTCTTTTGTTGCATCGTGTGTTGGGTAAATGCAGCCTACTCAAATTAATGGGCTGGCAATGTACCATGAGGTCCCAAAAAACACAATTTTTGGCAACACACCACAATGCACAGTGGTGTGTTATCATGCCATGTTGTGAGCTGCATGTGTTACCTTTTTTCAAAATAAATGGCACCACAACCCTTCAGTGTATGTGACGTCGTGCAATGCAGTTACAATGTTACAATGTCACCAAGGGACAGTGCATATCAGGCGTGTGAAGATCAGCATCAATGGACCCATAAAAAGGGATGATGGGATTTTCAAGAAGACACCCAACGTCAGCCCCCGACCTCAGCATGAGAAGACCGGAAGGTGTATGCTCCTGCTACTACCCCATTTCCTTAATCTTAAATAATGAACACACCGATGGCTTGGAATACACTTTTAATATATTAAGTTGCAAGAGTGTTACAATAAAAATGGGTGCATTGAAGGACCCAGTGGGATGGTCAGCGTGCGGACTTGGTGAGATGGCCAGTGTGCGGACCTGGTGGGAGGGCCAGTTGGTGGACTTGGTGGGATGGTCAGTGGGTGGACTTGGTGGGATTGCCAGTGGGTGGACTTGGTGGGACAGCCAGTAGGCGGACTTGGTGGGACTGCCAGTGGGTGGACTTGGTGGGACTGCCAGTAGGTGGACTTGGTGGGACTGCCAGTGGGTGGACTTGGACTGCCAGTGGGTGGACTTGGTGGGACTGCCAGTGGGTGGACTTGGTGGGATGGCCAGTGGGTGGACTTGGTGGGGTTGCCAGTGGGCAGACTTGGTGGGACAGCCAGTGGGCAGACTTGGTGGGACAGCCAGTGGGCGGACTTGTTGGGAATACCAGTGGGTTGACTCGGTGGGACAGCCAGTGGATGGACATGTGGAGTGTTGGTGAGCAGGAGGGGGAGCAGGGGGCCCTGGCCTAAAGCTGTGTAAGGGGTCCCAAAATGTTTGATAGCAGCCCTACTTAGTGGTTTCCCCCTTGGTCCAGGCCAATCACAATGCAGTGACTTCATAAGCCTTGCAGTACATAGTGGCAGGTACTCCGACAGAGTAGCAGAGCCCTGAAACGCGTATGAGGTGCCATTTGCTCAAGTAAAGTCTGCCCACCGAGTGTTTCTTCTTCACCTCAGTGGCAAGCAATGAATGAACAGCAGGAGAGTGAAGGCAAGGTGAGTATTAACTGCTGCAGGGGCCCACCACTGAAGCTAATTGCTGGGGCAAAGCACAGGTTCACTCATGGTTCTGTAGGTGATCAGATTTAAAATTAAACTCCAAGCAAAATGGCTAAATACACAGACGCGACACGTATAGGAGGTGCTGTTCTACCTGCCAAAGAATTTGTATTTCTGCCCATCCAGCCCAGAGATTTACACAGCTCGGCCACAAAGCACAGCCCTGTCTGGCAGGGCAGGAGACCTGATTTTTCTCCGCTGCTGTTAAGTAACACTCGCAGGTCACCTCCCCACCCTGCGACTAGACAGTCAAAGGAGAAGCAGCAGGCTGATGTACTCATCTCTCGGCTCTCTCCTCCCATCAGCATGGTCCATGCACAGGGAACTGCAAGGGATCTGTTGATAAATGCAGAGCTGTATTAGTTTGTGTGTTTTATCCAGAATGTATATATATAACAAGGTGTATAGGGGGGCCTATTGCCTGGGATTGTATCTTACTTGTGCCATTCTCTGCCCGCAGTGTACGTCGAGTATACATGGTGAACAAGGAGATCTGTAAGCGGATTATGTGTAAGGAGGACGAGGTTATTCAAGGTGAGTCTGGCTTGTTTCAGCTGATGGGTTATGGCCAATCTCGTTTAATAGGGGGGG